CCCATCACTTTTTTATTAGCATGCTTATGATTAGGGTGTATCTGTAATGACGAACATGTGTGCACGTTGTTAAAAGTCCTGATTTCAAATTCATCCATGGGATCAAGGCGTTTTGCATATAAACGCCAACTACAGTTCTCAATTTCACAATATACCTCATAACGATTTTTGTTAGAATGTTTGGTCTTAAACTGAAACTTTTCTATGGTTGCTTTAAGACTCAAAGCAAATATTAGTTGTTGTTTGTTATCATATGTTTGACGAACAAACATATCATAATTTGGACCTAAACTGTGAAATGGTCCGAGTTCAACAATAGGATCAGGACAATCAGGTATGGGAGGCATACCGTAAAATATGTCTGAAGCTTTTTTCCCGTGTGTGAACTCATCTTCTGACCATCCTTCATTTGACTCTTCACCGTCTGACAAAGTTTTGACAGTCAGTCTTCCAAACTCATATAAATTTTTTTCTTCAACCGTATTCACTGCCACGGTTTCTTCTTCTAGACACTCTTCAACATTATCGAATACAACGTTTTCAACTTTGTATGGTACAATCTTGTCAACCGCTTCTGTCTGTTCGACCAATCCCTGAAACACCTCTAAATACAAATGCACAATCTCATTCGTTTCAAAAATTACATTTCTGAGTTGATGAACATCTACTTCGTCTAAAATATTCATAACATACCCATAAACCGGGTGTTCAAATGATAATGATATATTACTATTGAACACATTAGCCTTAATTTTGACCAAATCAAACAATATTCGACGATCAAAATTTGGCGGAAGTAGTAAACCTAAGTTGTTAAACTTTGGTCTAACGTAGGTGTTAATCCCATTACTTATCTGCCAAAAACCCCCAGTACATAAAATAACAAAACTCATACTTTTTTTTTGAAAATGAAATGAATAAGAACTGATCTATTTTGTAGAGATGATCGACCAAATTGACCTAAAAAAATGAAAAAGAACACTTTATATAAAAAAACCGTTTAAAAACCGTTACAACCACCACTTCCACGGAGACATTAATCTCTCCGCAGAGCTCCTCGTCACCTTCTCCGCGAAGGAATTTATGAAGGCCAAACAACTCGCTCCGCGGAGGTAATAATGTATCCCCAGAGGGCCTACGCGGAACAATCTTTTACACATTAAAAAATCAGAATTTTAGCTGGTCCGCGGAGATGACGTCATTCCGCGGAGGTCCGCGGAGGGTCCTCCGCGGAATGTATGTCTATATCGGGAAAAACCTATTTTTATGACTAAATTTAGAAACTGACCCCCATTTTTTGTCTCGGTATTTTCCCTTTTATTTTTTCCTTGAAAAAGACCTTGCATTTTTCAATTTTTCGAACCTAGCCCTTTTAGTCATTTGTATTTTTGGGAAATCTCCGATAAAGTCTCAATATTTTGAGTCAATTTACGTTTCAATCCCAACATTTATTTTTATAACAGAAAAGTCTAGATTATATAATTTTATATTTTTTATGATAAAACCCTATTGGTTGTTTTCGTAGTACCCTAAAAAAATTCAAATAAAACTACAAGATTATCTTTTTGATGATATACAAAATCAATTAAATTATGATTTTCTCTTTGATAATCGAATGAGATTTGAAAGCATGGTCAACTCTCTTTAATAAAATCAAAGATGATAATAATTATATCAATAAATTCTAAGATGGTAATGATTATTTATAATACGTCCATATACTCTAGAGTCTAGGGTGAAAAGAAATAAAGTTGTAATGAAAGAGAATATATGTCTAAAAGATCTCCACATACATATAAGTATATGTATGTTGATAATTTATAAATGGGTTTCAATTATTTATTGTATTATTATAAATATATAGAACTTTTTTTTAAGATAGGTCACGATTAGTTTTCATTATTGGCAAAATACCTAAATGAATAATAAAATTAAGTTTCAAAGTCAAATTTTAATTTAAAAGTTCATACGTTTTAAGATAGTTTTTAAGGATATCTTCATTAAAGTCTTACTATTTTACTTTAATTTACAAAAAAAATTCCAAAATATGTATAATACATATCAAGTTTTACGGTAAACATAAAATCATATAATGCAACATATTCATCTCATCTGCTCATTTAATAGTTAGACATCCAAGTCAGCAATGAAACCAATCAAATCTGTGTTACATTGAAAAAATAGTCAAATCATTATTTTTACCGGTAATTCATATTTTTATAAACAAATTTTAGTTTTGAACTTATTCGTAAATTCGGGTAAAAATATTCAGACTTTAGCGAAGATTTACCCAGCTTATTCATGTTTTTCGTAAAGAAATTTTAGTTTGGGACTTATTTGTATAGAGTTTTAAGCAGAAAATTCTCATTATTTTGGGTAATTTTTTGATAAATTCCTAAATTTTTTCTTTTGAACAAAAAAATCTCGATTATTCAAGTTTTTTCCTAAATTAACCAAAAAGACATTTTTTTTTAATTTTTATATGAAATGACAGATTATATCATTTTTTCCAAAATAATGACACTTTTCTGCTCAAAAAAATTAAATTATGACTTTATTGGATATTAAATAATAAGACTTTTCTATATGAAACTCATATAAAATAATATGACTTTATTGGATATTTCCTTAGTTTTTAAGTGATATGGTGCATTTATTAAATTGGTAAATATTTAAAATAGTATATTACAGTTTTGGTCCTTTTAGTTTGATCAAATTCATAGTTTTGGTTTTTAATTTAAAAAATTGATTGGTTCCATTATTATTTTAACAAATTACAGTTTAAAAAACTACTTTACTCTTTCTTATATCTTTTTTCTTCTTTATTCTTTTATAATCTTTAACAATATCAAATTGAAAAACAACTCTCACCCTACCCCATCCACCCCACACATCATTGTCAATATTTCATCCACCCACACCTCATGTCCGATCACCAACAGTCTAGTTCCCTCCACCGCCCACCAACACTTGTCTTTCTTTTCTTTGGTTGGAGTTGCACAATATTAGATAAAACAGATCGATGATACATTTTTACGTCATTTTAATTCATCTGAATTTTAAACATCAATATTTGACTTCTACTCTAATTTCTTCCCAAGTGGATAGACATTGGACATTCCTTTCAAATTTTGTGAGCTATGGATTTAATTACCTAGATTGCTGCAATTAAAATTCACCACCTTTCTCACTTGTGATGTGCATTTAGAAAGCAAAATAAAAAAGCCCTGACCTTTGATTGTGTGTGGAGAGATCCATATCCATATCCATATCCATATCCAAATAACATGTGTAAGCGAGAAGAAGGAAGGGGAGGTGTGTGATAAATGTTTTGTACACCAAGTTGGGGACCCCACCAAGTTGTTCATTTAAATTACATATTTGCTATACCCTTATTATTATCCATCTTTTGTGCGTTTCTTGATCAAACTTTATAAATTAAATTTGAAGCTAATTTAGGTTTTCTACATAATACTATTTTTTAAACAAAATACAATTAACACCTCAAAAAATCCACCAATACTAATCTTCGAATTGCGAGATAAAACCAAGGTGAAGGAAGTCATGACTCATGATGACGAGATTCAAACATAAAACAAAAACATGATGACATTTATCCGCATAATATCCATCATATACACCCTAAGTCGGAGCTTATTGTTTGGATGATGACGTCAGCTGTCTCAAATTGTATTTTGCCAATTCCTTGTACTTCTCTACCACGCCAATACAGCACACAGTCTACACACACAAATACACAACACACTCACTTCTTATCATAAAAGCATGTAAAACTAAAGATAATAAAAAAAGTTACATAAATGGTCCCTGTGTTTCACAAAAAGTGACTACTTCATTTCCTTTTTTTCGTTATAGCCACAGGACCATGCTTGTAACGAAAATAAAAAGTTAGGGACTGATATTGTGACTTTTTGTAAAGTATGGCGACAATTTATGTAATTTTGTCAAATAAAAATAAAGAAAAACACAGCCGCTTTTCATCTATCAATTTAACTAATAAAGAGTAAATTACACGAATGGTCCCTATGATTTTGGGTAATTTGCGCGTTTGGTCCCTAACTTGTTTTTTTAACTCGGAAGGTCCGTACTGTTTTTTTTGTTACACGTTAGGTCCATACTGTTTGTTTTTGTTACAAGCTTGGTCTCTGTCTTACCTAAAAAGACTATTATTTAAATAGAAAAAAATGGTGGGGAAGATAAGATAAGGTGAGAGGTGGGATTGGGGGTGTGTTTATTTAAATAAATTAAAAAATCAAGGGCAAAATAGTCTTTTTTAGGTAAGACAGGGACCAATAGCGTAACAAAAACAAATAATAAGGACCTTCCGAGTTAAAAATATAAGTTAGGGACCAAATGTGCAAATTACCCTAAACCATAGGAACCATTTGTGTAATTTACTCACTAATAAATCTCTTTCTAAAAAAATAATTTACTCACTAATAAAGTATTTCCCATCTATTAGACCATTTACTTATTTTTCACCATTAAAAAAAAAAGCATTTTACTCTGGTTATCCGGTTTTGTTTGATATCAATATTTTTTTTTTAACTTTTTTAGTAACATTTTTAAACTATCATACAACCCTTTTTAAACTTTTTATGCTATCTAGGAATGTTGAAAAAAAGTAAAAAGTTTTAAAAGATTTAAAACGTTATATAACGTAAGTAATAATTTGTGGTTTACCTTAGCAATTTGAACTACAATTGTCTTTTCGGGATTGGTGAGATCAACTTTGTGGGGTTCAGGAACCGATTTTGCAACCGCATCGATAATTTTCATTTTCTCAAAACCACTATTTGCACGCGCCTCACATAACACTGCAAACTGTACAAAAAAATTTTATTTATTTATTTATTATTAAGGCATTGTACTTTGAAAAATATATTGTAGTTTGAACTTTTCTTCTTAATTTCTTATTATAAAAGAGAAAATTACTTTGTATTTAGACGATGTTGTAATAACTGGCTTTATTTTACAAAGTGGAATGTTGTAATAGCAAGTAAGAATTATGATAAATCTACTCTAATAAATAATATTTTTTTTTTGCTACATGTGATACTCTCAGTTATTTTGACATATGTGATTTTGTGGTTAATTTAAATTAAACTTTTTCCACATGTCATATTTTATGGGTTTTTTTTTCCCATTTTATAAAATTCCACATAGTATTTAAATATAATAATTGTAATAAATGTAATAATAAATAGGGGAAATATGCAGAAAAGTCTCATTATTTTGGGAAAGTTTATGATAAAGTCCTAAATTTTTTTTTAACAGAAAAGTCATGATTATTTAATATTTTGCTCAAATTAATGAAAAAAGTCCTTATTTTTCTTTTAACAGGAAATGACAAATTATCGTGTAAAATTAATCAAAAAAAAGTTAGGACTTTATCAAAAAATTTCCCAAAATAATGGGACTTTTCTGCATATTTCCCTAATAAATAGATATCAAGTTCATTAATACAACTTTCCTTCTAATTTCAAAATTCCTAAATTGAATCCCAATTATTTCCTTTGTTTATTTATTTAAATTATTTGTTTAGTTTTAAAATAGAATAAAGCCCTTGAATTTCAATAATTCAATATTTAAGGGAAATTGTCAGAAAAGTCCCAATATTTTCAAGAGAGTTACATTTTAGTCCCAAGATTTTTTTTTAACATAAAAGTCCTGATTATTTGTAAAAACACGATAATATGTCATTTCCTGTTAAAAGAAAGAAAAAATTGTAAACTTGAGCCAAAATGAAATAAACAGGACTTTTATGTTCAAAAAAAAATCTTGGGACTAAAGTGTAACTTTCCTGAAAATATTGGGACTTTTCTGACAATTTCCCTTTTTCTTATTTTCCTTATAAATTTGAGCTTCCTAAATGTTTAGACCTTTATATTTAACCTTTTTTTAATAAATCCTTGTCTCACAACTAGTATATTAATAAAAGATTAAAAGCACATTGCTATTTTTTGTGGTTAACCACTAAAAATAATGGAAATTAGTCAAATTACCTTATATGGTGTTTCTGTTTCCTTGGGAAAGTATTGAGCAATTAAAGGTTTAATTGCTCTTGAAATCTCTTCTTCTGATGCATAGCATGACACTTCTATAGGTAATATTCTTAAAATAAACCTGAGAACAATATTTAAAGATTATGCAAAAAAAAGATAGCAATATATAGATTAAAATATGTTTACTTTTTTTTTGTTAGTTTTTATCAAGACTCAAATATCACTTGGAAGAACAATCAACAATGTATGCCTTTTGTGTTGTTTCTTTTTTACTTAATGCAAAAACAACAACTTAATAAAGAAAGTCAGGGAAAAAATAACAATAAATAACGTTTAACCTATTTTTTTACAAATTTATGCAACAAACTTTTAATCGGTTATGTAGATCACCTTGTTACATCAATTGAAAAAAAAATGAAATGTTGTTGCATAAATAAGTATTTAAAAAAGGGTTAATGTCATAAAAGACCTTATATTTTGAGTTTTTTTTCAGATTAAACCTCAAATTTACTTTTTCCCTGAAAAAGACCTTGTATTTTTTCATTTTTTCCGATCTAGACCTTTTAGTCATTTTTTTCTAAAACAAAATCTAAAATGTGAGGGTTTTTTCAAGAAAAATTAAAAAAGTTGAGGGTTTATTCGGAAGCATTTAGAAAGTTGAGGGTTTTTTTCGGCAAAAAATACATAGTTGAGGGCTATTTTGGAAAAAAGAAAAAATACAAGGTCTTTTTCAGGCAAAAAATAATTTTCAGATTTAATCTGGAAAAAACACAAAAGATAACATCTTTTATGAGATTAACCCGAAAAAACCTCAATTATATTTTTTTTTCTTGAAAAAGACCTTGCATTTTTTAATTTTTCGGATCTGGCCCTTTTAGTCATTTTTATTTTTGGGAAATCTCCGATAAAGTCCCAATATTTCGGGTCAATTTACGTTTTAATCCTAACATTTATTTTTTGAACAGAAAAGTTCCTATTACATAACTTTATATGATAATCTGTCATTTTCTGTTCAAAAAAAAATTAAGGACTAGTTCGTTAATTTTAGCAAAATATAAAATAATCGGGACCTTTCTGGATCAAAAAATAAAAGTTCAGATTAAACTGTAAACTGACCCAAAATATTGGGATTGTTTCAGAGATTTCCCTTTTTTTCGTCAAGAACTTGTAAACGTGAGGGTTATATTCAAAAAAAAAAAAAATTGAGGGCTTTTTCGGAAAAAAGAAAAAATACAAGGTCTTTTTGAGGTTTAACCCAGAAAAAACACAAAATATAAGGTTTTTTATTTAAAAAATAATAATAATAATTTAGAAAAGAGTAAATTACACGAATGGTCTCTATGGTTTGTGGTAATTTGCGTATTTGGTCCCTAACTTATTTTTTTAACTCGGAAGGTCCCTACTGTTTCTTTTTGTTGCGCGCTTGGTCCCTGTCTCACCTAAAAAGACCATTTTGCCCTTAATTTTTTTAATTTATTTAAATAAACACACCCCAACCCCACCCCCACCTCGCCTTATCTTACCTAAAAAAGACTATTTTAATTTATTTAAATAAAGGTATAATAGTCTTGGTAAGCCAGGGACTAAGCACGTAACAAAAACAAACAGTAGAGACTTTCTGAGTTAAAAAAATAAATTAGGGACCAAACGCATAAATTACCCCAAACCATAGGGACCATTCGTGTAATTTACTCTTTAGAAAATTAACCTGGCCATGTGTTTCCTTGTTTCAGCAGCAGTGGTTATCATTCGTTGTGCAATTTCTTTAGGGCTTGGATCTTCCTCTCTTTTACGCATTTGAACAAACACTACACCATTGCATCCAGAATCAAGGTAGTTGAAACGCCTCTGTTATAAAAAAATAAATAAATAAATAAATGTTGTACATATTGATATTGCTTTTCATCTAGTTGTTTCAGTTTTTGAATAAAAGTAAAACTTACCTTGCTTTTGTCTTTCAACTCTTCAAGTTCAGCTTCAATTAACTTATCAACAGACTTTTCCTCCACTTTCCTTTTCACAACTTCTTCACATTTAGATTCACTTGTTTCTACACGTTGTTTCTTTTCTGGTTGCTTTTCAGTTTCATCATCTTCAATGCCATTTTTATCTTCTTCTTCTACTTTCTCATTTGTTTCATTCTCAACTTTTTTAACAGGGATAGAAGTTTCATGATTCTTCTCATTAGAAACTAGTGAATCTTTATCTACTTTTTCATTGTTTTCATCATCATTATTATTGTCATCTTCGGAATCAGAATAAGTGAATTTAATCTTTTTATTTGTTGGTTTGTTTTGTGACACTGAGACTTTGTGCTTCACATCTGAGTCTTTTCCCTCGAGTAGCTCTTCGTAAAACTGGCATATATGAAAAAGAAAATAAAGAAAAGATTAAATTAAATTAAATTTCTGATGTTACATTTGTTAATGGAATAGAATGAAGAAATTTCATAAGACAATTTTTATTTGTGTAATATTAATGGCGCGAATCATTTTTTTTAATTTCATGGTTTTATGCATTTACAATATCAATTATTATAGATAAATGGAAAATATATTTTTATTATGATCTTATTTGGGCGTTAATGAGCTTTTATAATGTTTTATATTTCATTTTTGTAAATAGATTTTTTATTAATTATAATAAAAATAATATCTCATAATCTTGATTGGCTTTTAATGAGCTTTTGTAATGTTTAATATTTTATTTTTCTAGATAAAGAATGGTTAAAATTATATAATATCTACATATAATATAAAAAGTTCATCTGAAAATTCATTCCATTCATACAAGACAACCAAATATGATCATGGAATGTAATTATTCATTCCATTCCATCCAAAGATGAGTATGAACCTCTATACGCCTACTAGTTCATGAAAGTATTAAGTACACAGATTTGTTACAAAAAAGAAAAGAGAAGAACTTTGACTCTTCATGTCAAAAGGACCAGTTTTAAACTTCAAAATTGATATGAAAAATCATATATGAACTATTAGAAAGTGCTACAAGTAAGCAATTTGATAGGCATTATAACTTCATACAATATCCAGTTTATATTCAAAAGGAAATCATTATTTCAGAAGTCTAATTGCAACTCTTTCTATGGTAGGAGTGGAGTATTAATCAATTGCAATAAACCCTAGGAAAGCAAAGAAACAGAACATACAGATTCGATAACTTGAACAGCTTCTTGAGAAGCTTGGCGCTCCCTTCCACCATCACAAGTAATGAAGAACCCTTGAACTCCTGGGCGCAACGGGTATGAACCCTTCTTCACTGCTTTCTGTACAAAATACACAACACTTTCGCAAATTAAATGCTATTTTCCTTTGCAATTTACAAACAATTCATCTAAGAAAGGTATTTAGATGAAAAACATCGCCATTAATGTGATATGAAGTCTTGTATGCTTTCAAAATTAGAAGTAAATAGAGTGAAAAAGAGAGTACGTTGTTGGGACGATATTGTTGCTTCCTCTTCTTGGTGTCGGGATTCCCAGTGCCGGACTTGGGTTTGTTGTCGGTTCCCATTTTCAGGTTAGGGCTTCGATCGTGAATCCGTTTCCGGCGGTTACAGTGGCTGCTAGTGTTGCACTCGGACGTCGAATACGGTTTTCTTCTAATGGTGAGTCAATAAGAAAGGATTCCATTCCACTGAGAATTTACCATGTTTGAAAACCAGGTCTGACGTAGCTTAATTGGACACTATTCGGCCCAATCATCATTCTTAGTCCATATTTTAGCCCAAATCATACAGGCCCAAATTATTTATTTCACATTTAGTTTTATTACTAATTAATTCAATACTAGTTTATAACCCGTGAAAATGTTCTTGCGGTTATAAAACTAATTAAATTTTTATAGTAAAAACTCAAAATTATTAATCAATTATTTCAAATAAATTATTAATTAAGAGATATTTTTTACTTATATATAATTTTAATCGTTGATTTAAATAAATACATTAAATTATATCACCTTATAATATATATTAATTTTATTTTATTTTTATTCTAATGTTATTAATTTAATGTAATTAAAATGTGAAATTTAAAATTTGAAATTTGAAATGAAAAATCAATTATTAATTTAATGTAATTAGAGTGGGAAATTTTAAATTTTAAATTTTAAATTGATAATTAATAGGTTGACATGTGGCATATAGGTGGCATATAATATTAATGAGAATTTCTAATATTGTGACACTTGTCAAGAGGAGAATTAATTTATTCATTTATTAGAATAGTGATGAAGTAATGATTTGCTTTTCGAATGAAGTAATTAGAAGGATATAAAAGGATTTGAAATATATCTTATAAAATTTATGTTATATTTGAAAAAAAGATGAAATTCGATAAAACTCTCTAATCCTTTAGGTTTTTAATATCCAAATATATAATGGGGGAGTGATTATGGCTTCAGGAAATATACAGAAAAGTCTCAATATTTTGGGAAAAATTTTAATAAAGTCCAAAATTTTATTTTTTGAATAGAAAAGTCCTGACTTTTTAACTTTTCGAATAGAAAAGACCAAGAAACCGGTTAATTTTAATAAAGTCCTAAAATTTTATGTGTTATTTTTTTTATGTATTTTGTATTTATGTATTTTTTTTTTAAGTTTTTTATATAGATGTTTATGTATTTTAAATATACAAACGTATTTTTTATATATCTATATGTATTTTTAAGTATTTTACATATTTTTGTGTATTTTGATGTGTTATTTTATGTATTACGTATTT